AACTGTGTTGCAATAAAACTTTATTTACTTCAGGGCTAAATCTAGCTCATGGGCCATAGTTTGTCAACCTGATTTAAAAACTAAAGCTTCCCCATACCTAGTAATTTTAAATTAATGCTCTTTCTTTAACTTTTATCGCTCTCATCTGTGGTCCTTGAGTTTAAATCTGTGCACAATAACCATTACTCTAGGACAATGATGTTGGCAGAAAACTAGTGGATAAAAACCTAAAATTTTGATAAAAGTATTGGTCCATAAAAATGCATAACCACAAGAAGTTACATGAACCAATCTGAGCTTCAGCTCTTTCATCTGACCTATGGCAACTTCCTTCCCTGTTTCTGGGGCAAATATAGGAGTCCAATGAGGCACACTGACAAGTATGAAGTGCTACATAACCCAAAACTAGTGTGGATATCTAATGCCAGTAACAGTTTGTTAGATGAGACTGGTTTAAATAGAGATGCTCCTTATAACAGCTGTCTGTTCAACCCTTACAAGACTTTGGAAATATTTTCTACACTCATTGTCTTATGTCACTTCCCACCCACAGCCCAGAGAAGGAACAAAGCATACATCACAACGACACTTGCTGTAGATTTGTGCAGATTCCTGGGAAAAATATAAATTCCCTGAGATTTTTTTTTCCTTCCACCTGAGCAATTCACTACATTTCAACTCTTGGTCTTTTGAAGCTAATATTTTGCAATTCTGGTTTTTAAGATATTTGTAAATTCTCTCATTAATTATTTTCTTTACTCTGGTTCATAAATACAGTAATCATGAGGCACTTTTCTAGAATGCATTTTCAAAACATTTAACAAGGCAGAATACTGTTATTAATAGAATTCTTCATGAGCTCCAGGGGGATTTCCTAAAGATACCCATTTCAGTGTCTTGAGTCTGTTTTTTCTTCCAATTTCCACCATTCAGAAATTATTACAGGATTCTTAATGACTCCAGTTAAGATCCTAAATGGCTGATGTTAGCTTTTCCTTAGAATAAACTTGCCCTAGCAAGATGAAATCACTGTCGCCTGTACTTTTAACAGTTACTGTGCTACTAGGTCCATATCTCTACTAAAATACATTAGATTAGTGAACTTATTAAGTCATACAAATAAGATTCAAAATAATAAAAATTAATATTACTCTATTTCTGAATTAAACAAAAGATGTGTTGTCACTGTACAAAACCAAATGGTAAAGTTTTAAACTAGCGTTTATGCAATTTTTAGCACAAAAAGGCTATGTAAAAAATAATTGACTCTTAATTCTTTTTCCCATATACTTACTCAAGAAACCATTAATAAATTAGAACTCTTCCATCTGGGTTAGAAATTATGGAAACAAGGAGAAACATTTAGGTACAGTGTGGTGGCATTTTTGGGGGCGGAATGAATCAAAGAAAGGAGAAATGAAAGCAAGAGAGTGGTAAGTATATGAAACAGAAAAGGAAGAGAGTAACAAAATGTAAGGGTGTACGAGAATAGAGTCTGATGTAAACTGCTTGTACCACCCAGTACACAAAAATTAAACAGATAAAAGTAGGGAGAAAATATATGCTTTGAAAAAAAAAAGAAACGAGGAAAAAAGTGCATTCACCTTCATGTGTTCTATTCAGTGTCCTGACAACGTAAGCCAAAATTATAGGGGTTAGAGAATTTTAACTTTTCAAGGTATTTACTAAGAATGAAAACAAAGTGGCTTAAATAGAAATAATGAAGGCACATCAGAGAGTGATCTAAACTTTGCAAAAAGAATGTCTTCTCTTTTGTGACTCCCTTTAGGCTCAGAAGAACATGGATCTAGATTCACTACAAGCAAAATGGATAATTTAAAACATTTTAAAGGTAGATTATATGTAGGAAAAGGAAAAAGATATTTTTGTAAAAAATAAAAAAGGATTGTTATTTTGCACTTGATAAAGTTGGATTTTTTGGCAAAAAATTTATATTTCATTTAATTTATGATGAATTTACCCATTCATTATATTTAAAAACTAATAATGAGTGAATATTTGAAAAGTGGTTAAATCCTTTACAAAGACTTCCAATGAGTTATCAGGGAAACTGGAATATTTTAGGCTTAAATAACTTAGAAATCAACAAATATAACAGCAAACAAGTCTGTTTCTTTAGTATGCACTACTTAATCCTATTTCACATGCTGAATGCAAGGCTAAGAAGAGTGTGTTATTAATTAGAGACTAGTGTTCTGATTGTTTCAAAAGGCCCACAGAATACTTCAGTGTGGCGCAGGAAGTATTGGTTGCAGCAGAAACAATAACAGAAATGAAGTGTACCTATTGAGGATGGTGATGTTATTTATAGATATAATGGGTTGCACTTATTACGTTCACAGTATTCGTTTCAAATTCAAGTGACCAGCTATCTCGTGCACAAAGACAGACTCTTCAACATGCAGACAATCCATCTGGAACAGAGCTCTGCAGCTGTGAAGCTGGGTCTTACCACTTAACAAGCATGAAATGAATCTTATTTTCTAGGTAAAAGCTTTGTGGGTTGGTCTCTTGTATGGTTATCTTTGTTAGAATGTGGCTAAAGCACAAAGCAGAAATCACAGCACAGAAAAATCTCCTGAGGAAGTTTCTAATGAGTCACATCATCTCCTGGGACTTCATTTCCTTGCCACAATTTCTCAGATAAAGCAGAAAGAGCTCTCCACCCTAATTCTTACACTTCGATTTCAGAGAGGATTGGTTTTCACAATGCACTCCAAAGAAACTAGTCACACCGTGAGAATTTTTAGGTTACAACAGAATCAGTACCAGTTAGAATGGGCCACCCTGCCAAAACACACTGTTAACTCTTCCAAAACAAAAGAAGCAAGATCAATGTAGGTAGTGATACAAACTGGTGTTCTGTTCTTATCTAAAGAATAGGTTAAGAAAAAACTTGTTTCTTTTTGTACATACTGCTAGTGTTAGTCACTTTCACACTGCAGAGACACCATACCGAACACCCCCAATCTAAAGGAGCAAAGGTTTATTTTGGCTCACAGTTTGTAGAGGTTTCAGTCCATAGTTGATGGGCTCCAAGACTGGACAACATGGCAGGGGGGCATGGCAGAGAAGAGTCACTTATATCATGGCAGGCAGGAAACAGAGAGAAAAAAGGGAGGAGCCTGGAAGAAGATAAACACTCCCAAGTCATGCCCCAAATGACCTGTCTCTTCCAAACAGACCCCACCCCCTAACAGCCAGTCAGTTACAGGTCCCCATAATCTAGAAACCTCCCAAAGTGCTTGAGGTTTGGGGGAGATATCTAGATCTAAACTAACACTTCTAGTTGTGTGCAATTATTTTTGCATGAATTGCAGTAGTCTCATTTAAATTCTCTTTATTTTGAAACCAAATCTATGCTGCGGAGAGCTTTATGAGAACTAGCAAAGCATGGCAGAAAATCAAGTGCCATTTATCTAAGCAGACATGTGGCAATAACTGGTACTCCTGAAGCTATAGAATAAAAAGTCTGAGACGCTTTAGACTCCACTCTCAACTTTAGATAAAGCAAAAGATTCTGAATCTACCACAATTAACATCTCCCAACTAACTTTCCTAAATTAATGGAAACACTCATGTATATCAGAAAATGAATAACACTAGACTACTCTTTAACAATTTTTTCACATACAGAAAGAGAGAGAGAAACAGACAGAGCATTTCCCAATGTCCTAGAAGAAAATTCATTTGTCTAGATCTGGGAAACAATGCAGTTCTTGCTTTTTGGGTTACCACAGCAACAACTATATTAATGTCCAAAAATTGAGAGCTCAGGCTGGTTCTTCAAGAATAATTGCATTTCCTTATAGAGTTTTGTTTAAAAAGAAAATGAAAAGGGAAATAAAAGGAAGATCCTCAAGTATATCTGCATGTTTGAAATAGATCTGCTAACTCAAAGCCAGAAGTAAATGGGCCACCAGTTTTTGTTCCCTTTTATCCTCAGATGCCCTGATTTCCATCTTGAGAGAACCATTATCACTGGGTGATTACTTAAAATAAGACAGAGGACCCACGTGGTCCTTCGACTCATTATAGCATTCTCTTCAGTGATTGCTTCATTGTATGAAAGGGAACAAATGCTTTAAGTAGAAATCATTTGTCCTTTCACCTTCTACCCCTAAATTCTTATTATTGGAACCTTGAGAAAAGAATACCATTACCAAGACCGTGTTAGCAGTCTTACCTATCTTGAAACCAACTCCTTGATTTCTCTTGTTCTGTTTTCAAAGAGCCTATGAGAAAGGAAGGGTGGATGCCTTTTTTCCAACATAGGTAAAAATGAAGCTAACAATGTCTGGAAATGTAAGTACACATTACAAAGAGTAGAATATAGGCTTATACAGCAAATGATGGAATGGCATCACAGGGAGAAAACTTAGAAAAAACTTTATGTCTCCACTGCCCATTGGAAAATAATACCACATTAAATGATTTCTTACTTTCCAACTCAAGTTATGTTTTACCTTACCCAGATATGCCAGTAAGATATATCTGCAAATCTTCACATAAATCAACCTTTGTAACCCAAATTAAAAATCACAAGAAACTTTCTGTATGATTTCACAGATCTTTTTATCTTCATTTTGAAATCATAATGATTTTAGCTTCCTGTCTCTGCCATGTCCCGCTTCTTAGTCAAATAGCTAATGATCTATAAATAAAAATGTGAATGAACTGGGTTGAACTCTCTATTTATAGGAATATTTTTTTACTCAGAATCATTTTTCAAAGTGAACAATCAAAACTCGAATTCTCTGCTTCATAAAACTTAATGGTTACATAATGGGATTTCTTACAAGAACATACACCTTTATAATTAAATAGAAATTGAGGTTATTTTGATGGAGTGTAACTTTGTGATAGATACTTAATAAACACCATCCTTCAGTCCATGTCTCTGGTTAATAATATACATTTGCACCGTTTCCCAGCTTTCCTAAAGCAGGTACTCCTGGGGTACCATGTGCACAACTGTTCCTGAAAAGAAGACATTATTGACCAAAGGAATGGCTGCTACCTTGAAAATTCCCAGTGCCTCTGTACCTGCTCTACATTGGCCACTGCACATCTTCATCTCATTAAGATTTCCTGCTAAGTGAAGTTTTTTCATGAATGTTCTTTGCGGTTCTCCTTTTTCTTCCTCTTCTTTAATCACCTACTAAATATAATGAGGGCTTAAAATGTCTGGGAAAGGAGTGCTCACAGCCTTTGTGCAAGGCAGGAAAATAGGAAACTAGCACTAATGATCCTGGCCCCACAGATGCCTGTCCACTGTTTATAGCTTTAGTCGGAAGCCCGATTCACACCAGGCTGACTGTTCCTCAATGAATTCCAGTCCTGTTAGCCTGCCACCCTTCCAAATGAGCAAAACTGAGAAAGATCTGAAGGTGCATGGCATACGTCACAATTCATTTAAAGGATGGTTTGAAGAATGAGCTACATATCAAGTGGCTTTGGAATGATAGCTAAAAATATAAGAGGCAATGTATGGGGGAAAGTACATACACAATAGAAACAGCCAGTAGAAATTGCCAACTATTTCATATATTCAGTTTCTCCAGATTTCAAAGTGTGACTTCTGGGTAACTGCAGCCTTCTGTGAAATATAAATAGATTAGAAGATAAAGATATGAGCTGTGATCTTTTGGAAGTAGAAAAGCCCTTAGTTTTCAAATCTGAGTGGGATGGACAGATCCAAAAGTCATTTGGATAGCAGTCACATAACAGTTTGGTGGTCACCATAACACAGAACATTTCAGAGGTCCAATATCATAGAAGTAAAGCAGCAAACCGCATCTCGTGTCTCAGGACCATCCACCTGTGGTGATGAATAGCTAATGACACATGCCTCATAGTAATTCCAGAAAAATAAGAGAGGTAGAAGTGTTTTTTATGATAAATGAAAATTATCTTCAAGAAAAGTTAAGAACCAGTTATACAGATTGCTAAACTATAGAATTGCTGTTTGAGACATCCCCTCCACCAGGATGTCATCTCTATGGGCCAGACTCACCTAAAATTCATAGGGTCTTAAATGCCTACAGAAGGTTTCCTAGAGTGTGCAGCAGAAGTACAGCAAAGCAGGTACTACAAATAAAGCTAGTGGTTCTGGAAAGTACTAGAGAGAACACAGCAGAGCAGAAACCCCAGCTGTTATTTATCTCTGACCAGTTTTTGCCATGATGAAAAAAGCAAGCCTAGCATTGGTAGATTTTTGAATTTTCCTAAGAAACTAGAGATAAGACTTATTATTGCAATGAACTTATATGAAAATATTGACTAGTTCAATTTGTTTAAAAAAGGAAACAACACCGTTGAGCTACAAAAGCTGATCAGTGGTCTAAGATTCAAGCCCTGCGTAAGACAATGGTGATATGGAGAAAATGAACGGGGAAAGGAAGGTAAGAGTTACTAAACCTGAATTCCTCCCTTACAGCGTTTGCTTCCAAGCTACTGAAACAGACACAGCATTGCATTTATACTGTGATTTTAAATACTCCCAGTCTATCATTTCCCAAGAAATCTCTCCATATCCATTTACCACAATGTCTGAAATTCCATCATTGCTGATAAATTCCACTAGTTTAACTTCTGATGATATCACAAATACTTTATCTCACAGTTACGTATCTTAGAGTGGTGGTCATGTGAGTCCAGGTTTCAAAGCCTAACTTTTTCATGTACTAACTATATATAATTTTGATAGGTTATGAAGCCTCTATTCTATGATATTCTTTCTCTTTTTCTTTCTTTCCTTCTTTCCCCTTCCCCTTCTTCTCTTCTTCTTCTTTTCCTTCTCCTCCTCCTCCTCATCCTTCTTTTTTTGTACTGGGGATTGAACTCAGGACCTTGTGCTTGTGAGCCAGGTGTGGCACCGAGCTAAATCCCAGGTCCTAAGCTCTCTTTTCTTTAGTACTATTTTAGGAATAAACAACGCTGTCTGAGATGATTAGTGAATTTTTTTTTACTATTCCTCATATTCAATAAGATATATTTACTATTTTTTGTTTCATCCATAAACACTCTTCTGTGAATGAATTTGCTAGAGATCTAAAGGAAAATTTAATCATGAAAAAACTAAATTAGCTCAAGAACAGAACATCTAGAGTGACACAACTGCGTTTGTAGATGTGCTAGGATTTGGACTTGATGGGCAGCATTGTAAGGGAGTGTCTGATCTATGTGTCGTGTTTTAAGGCTGGCTTTGCCCCCAGTTCCCTAGGGATGCAAAGCTGGAAGAGATACGTTGTATGTGCAGCATCTACAGACCGCTATCAAGAAATCCTTGTTTAAGGTGTCATTAATCTGTAAGACTCCTTGAAAGCAAATAATGAAAATATCTCATACACACATTTATATTAGCTCCAGAAATGTTTTGAAAAGTATTTGTACCTCTGAACATGGCTTATTTCTCCATCACCTCTCTACCACACTTCTGTTAATAATTGATTACAGAAAAGTTCAATGTGATATATTTATAATTATGTTCCACATTTTCCTTTTCATGGATTAATAATGAGGAACGAAAAATTATCTGGCCAGTGAAATGTATTACTCAATATATCTCTGTCCAAATTTTTATTTTGAAAAATGTACTTTAGAACCCTTTGGAAATTCTAAATAGAATATAATTGAGAAAATTGAAAAGTCTAACTTCTCTTGTGGTACTTCTACTGTTTTGCTGTTGCTAAGTATGAACCAGCTGGATATGCACAATGGTTCTTCTCTAAAAATGATAAAAAGTCTAACTTTAACAACTCTCACTGAAATTGGAATCTTACTACCAGTATCTCAAGAGTGAGAAATCTTATTAAGTAGGAACAGTTAACTCTGATTAGCACAAGGGAATTAAAGAATTCACAGTATAACCCAGACCTAAGTAGCAACTTCAGGAATGAACGTTAAGGGTAAGCAAACATTGAGAAGTACTTGCCATGTTTCTACTGATTTTCTTATACAGTACAAAGTTGGTGTTTTAATGGTTGTGCTCTTGCTGGACTTGGTCCAATTAAACTGTGGCTTTGTTTGCCAGGAACAAAAATATGGCACAGAAGCTACTTTAGAGAGGGTAGACTCACAAACCTAAAAAGTGAGAAGGTAAACATCTGAGACAGAGAGAGAAATTTTCTTCCATGGGATTCAATAAACAAATACATGCCTGATCTTAACCAAAGTCTAGTTTATGTTCAAACTAACTCTATGATGCTTATGAATGATTATAGAGAATGTGGCTAAAACATTCAAAAAACATGGATGTGATCCTCTATATTTATCAAGGAATAGAAAGTAAAAAAAATAAAAAGAAAAGAAAACTTGAACACAGGGTTTGCATGGTTCAGTACTAGAATGGTATTTAACTAATCTGATGAAGAGAAGGTTTTCTTATGAAGAGTGAATGCTGTCTATGGTCTCAGTGAGGAGGGATACAAAGCATCTCAAATATGCTCATAAATATTTGCTGAATAACTACTGTTCTCAGCACAAGACTATAGTGTAGCTATTCCCTCAAAATGGGCAGCCTATTGAAGAAAGAGCTACTGGGAAGTTACACACACACACACACACACACACACACACACTGTTTTTTGTAGTACAGGTGATTCAATCGAGAGCCTTCACACCAAGCTACATCCCTAGCCCTTTATTATTTGTTATTTTGAGACAAGTTTTTGTGAAGTCACTAAGTTGCCCATGTCGGACTCACACTTGGAATCGTCCTTCCTCAGTGTTCCAGTGTGCTGGGATTATTTTAAAAAATTAGTATTAAACGTTAGGTTGAATTACATGAAGGACTGCTGTGGTTTAGCTCACTTGAGTGTATCTGGAACAGTTTTTCTGGAGGAAATAAAGTCTGAGGTGATTCTCAAATAACAGTCTGTGTGTGTCACTGTGAGCAGACTGGAAAGAATACGTGTATGTTAAACACATCCACTGCATTTCACCTTGACATTCAGTAGTCCAGTACGTGCCACCAGCATCTTTGGCCTGGATTAGCACAGGCATGGTGGTGATGCCCCATACCCACTCTCTCCCTATCCAATGCACTCTTCACTTGGAAGTACAAGTAACTCTTCAGCACACACATTTTACTATGCTGCCCTCCTTAGAATCTTCACAGTCATTGCCATTGCTGTTCGGGTGGCATCACAACTCTTCCTCCTTAACTTATAAAGCATTATGTAATCTAGCCCCCTGTCTCTCTTTGCAGTACTGTCTAGTACCACTTTTCTCACTCTGCCCTTTCTTCTAAGGTCTTCCTCTAGGTCAGGAACATGCTGCTGTTTCCTGCACTAGAATCTCAGCACAAGTACCTTGCCCTCCCCACTTCCCACAAAGTTGTCTGCTTCCCATCCATCCAGCAGACTTTTCATCTCTTTTACATCCATCATTATTATAATTTTAAAATCTCAGCCCCACCTGCAGCTTCTTGTCATGCCCCTAATATGGTTGATCATTTTTAAGTAATCTCACAAAAATTTTAAGTTTTGAATAAATTAAATTACACAAAGCTCCTCCGCTAGGATATCAGGAAGGAGCACATCTGTTTCATCTCCATTATTTCCCAACACCTAGAAAAGGTATCATGTAGCAGATAATTGGTGTTTGTTAAATGAGTGGAAGAAAGACAAAGCCTGTGGGTGTGATGGCATGTATATTAGTTATCTATTTCAAGCAACAAATAACTGCCAACACTTAATGGCTTAAACATATTACCTCAGTTATTTTGAGCCAGGAGGATCCTCTGTCTTAGGGTTCCCTACATGTGTGTTATCACCCAGTCAGCAGTGGTGCAGTTGTCTCAAAGCTCTACTGGGAAGAGTCTAATTCCAAGCCCATTTAGCTGTCTGAAGAATTTAGGTCCTCACAGGCTGCTGGTCATGTGGCTTTCAGAAAAAGAAATTAGCAAGAGAATGTGAGAAAGGTTGAGGTGTGGTTTATAACCTAATCTCAAACCAACATCCCCTAGATTTTGCCAGATTCTATTCTAGGATTAAGTGATCAGACTCAGCCCACATTCTTGGGAGGGTTTTTCATATGGATGCAAATACCAGAGCGAGATCATGGGGGCCATGTAAGATGTGCCTGAAAGGCATTATATTGTCAGTGTGGTGTAGGACTGAGAGATGTAAGCTGTGGGAAAGTGGAGACCACTTTCCTTCAGTTCCTATTCGTAGGAACCAAGTCAATCTCTGCCCCATGGGAGGTCTTCAAAATTTATCAAAGGAATGAAAAACAAAGCTTGTGTGGGGACAGACTAGTGTGAGAGAAAAACTAGCCTTGACAGAATACTTTTGCTTACTTTTTCTTTGTTCTATTTAATATCTCCCAACATAACTTTGTTTATAATGATTATGCTTTGTTGTTTGCCACCCTCGGGCCCAACAGTTACCCAAAGGTCAAGGATTGAGGCTTGTTTCCTTTGTTCTTTCTCCAATTTTTTTCTATTGATATACATAACAAGAGTCCAAACATAGATATCTGTGAGACTTTGTTACTCTCAATGTGACCCCTGACCACCAGCATCATCAGCATTCTCTGTGTGGAATCTCAGGCCCTCCCTACATCTGCTGGCTGTGCCTCTTCTGCCAATTAGCAACATTCCCAGCTGATTTCTACACACTGCAGTGTGAAAACACAGTTGTAAATTATTGAAACAAGGAATCACATACAAGAAAGCCGACTCTGGAGCCTGCTGTCCTATCTGCTGTGCTGTTTTGCCTCTAGCAATAGTTGTGGCCAGAGGTTACCAGTGACTTGTTGGAACATACATAATCCATATATTAGAGCAAAGTTATGCCTTTTACAATCTCAATCTCTCACATTTTCATTCCAACTCACCTACTTGTAGGGGCAAGAGATGCAACTGCATCAATATACTGGGAATTCTATAGTATAAATAAATACAGATGTATCCCTCAAGTGAATCACCAGAAAAAAACACATAGAGAATGTTGTTCTGGAATATATCTAAATCTGACCTCACATTTCCCACAAATTAAGCTGTAGTAGCACTAACTGGCTTATCAACATGTATTACTTCTTCCTATGGATCAGTGTAGCTGACCTGAGTTGGGAAAATATCCTAGAAATAGAATTCTTGGATCTCATTAGTATACCTTCCCTGTTGATTTCCCAAAGCAGTGAAAACTAGTAGCAATAACTACAACCACAACAAAAATTCTGGCCACATTTTAGAAAAAAATTTGCAGCAGTCAGTTACCTATGCTGAATGTCTAGGATCCAACATTCAAGTATTCTCTGAGATCCAGATCAGAACTAACTTGCAGGCTCATTGTCATTACTAAGGAGATTCATGAAGTTCTGAACACCTGCTGCTACCAATATATATATGAAAAAAAATAAAGCTACCAGGGGATAATGTCTTATTGTAGTTTTTCAG